CATTTGGTTCAGCCAGAGTTTCAGCATAAGTGAGTGTTTGTGAGCTGCCGAGTGATTTAGAGACTCACATGTCACAGGTGTCTGACAGGGAGGTGAAAAGTTTAGAGAGGATTATGATCTTAAGTCCACTCTCGCTCACTCACACTTTACAGTTAAACGACACCACATGAATCAGCTGGGTGTGAACCTGACGGACAAAAACCTTCATGAACTGCAGCCCTGAGTTGTTCCTCGCTCTCATTGGCTGCCTCAGATCACCTGACCCACAGTTCACGTCAAAATTAGTTTTTTTTTTAAACAGGGTTTTCAGGTGATATCAGCAACAGCAACTAAAACATATGATATTCTGTCAAACTGTGCTACGGAGTTAAACTACATATACATATTTAATAATAATTTGTCACTTTTTACAGAAGCTCCACCTCGTGTTCGAACCCAGAGCACTTTCTATTGTCCCTCACCTGCTGCCGTAGTTTTAAAAAGCACCTGTTTCTGTTTCTCCAACACGAGATCTACACAGTGAATCCACACTGATATCATCTGCATAGGGATGACATGTAAAGACTTATAAAGAAGATAAAGAAAGTTAAAATAAAGACAAGAAGAAAAGAGGGAAAAAGACAAAGAAAGAAAGAAAGAAAGAAAGAAAGAAAGAAAGAAAGAAAGAAAAATAATGTTAAAAACAGAAAGAAAGATGAAATAAAGGCTAAAACAAAAGAGGAAAAAAGACAAATAGAGAAACAAAAATTTAAAAAATGGCTGAATGAAAGATGGAAATATGAAAAAGAAATACAAAATGGAAAAAGACTGAAAGACAGCAAGAAAAACTGAAAAAAGATAAAGAAAGAAAGCAAGAGCAGTGTTTTCATGCTATTCTGTACATTTCTGAGTGAAAACGAATCTTTTTGGGAGAATAAAACTCGTCCATTAGACTTTGTAAAGAAACATCAGTATCAACTTCACCTCCTGAGAAACAAACTGCAGGAATTACGTGGAAGAGAAACCAACTGAAACTCGCCGCTGACCTGTCGGAGCACGCCGCTCGTGAGATTAATACGAGCCGCCAAACCCGCAGTCTGTCTCCATGACGACGTCCCACGGCCGCTGTCTTTCTATCGACAGCCTTCTACACCAATAACACCGACAGCGATGTCACCACGCGGAGGTCTGTTATGTAACGTTGGCCAATTTGTCTGTAGTCAAATTCTGCAGCGGTGACGAAAAGCTGCTTCCAGGAGCAGCTCGAATCCATAAACATTATCACCAGCTTAACCCTGTATCTAGTTGTGATTATAGAATGA